GGCAAGAAGAAGGGGAGGCATGTAGCAAAAAATAACAAATATGTAGCCAAGAAAAAGGCCCTGAAAACAGGCTGATGTAAAAGACAGTCTTTACAGTCAATACAGTCTTTTGAACAAAGACAAGCATTTTACCCTACTGCTATTAAATGCAGTAGAGTTAACATTAGATGTTAATTAACCAAGATAATAATGAACAATTTTCAATCAATACATCAAAATCAATAGACCGACATCACTAGATGGAGGTAGTCTATGCTCTAGAAAGTTACTTTTCAGCCTCTTAACAAAAATGAGAACACACACACACACACACACACACACAATACTGACCTGTGGCGTACACAGACAGCAAGAGTGCCGTAGCAGATTCCATTTCACCTCAGTAATCTGTTTTCTCAGCGTATTTCAGGTTGCTACTAGGCACCAGACACTCAACTTGTTTGTTGGTGGTGGGGCTTAAAGAAAAGGCACTAGCGCTACCCAGTGTATGAGCGTCTTTTTCCCTTAAGGGGCTCCGCTCTCGAAGCCTATGAGAAATGCATAGACTGGGGGAAAATAGCCCCGCCTTCTCGCAGGCTGCAGCGGGATGTACTTGGAAAATTGTACCATAAAACCACATAGCGTTAATCTCACGTTAAAAAAATTATCGCCGTTAAAATGGCCTCGCGTTAACGCGATAACGCGATAATTTTGACAGCACTAATATATAGTATACCACCTGTGCGGTTCCCGGTGGCTTGATTCTCTTCATTGCGTTGCTCGTCATGTGTGTTTCTTGCTTATTGTTCCTGGATTTGTGCTTTTGTTACAATCTAAATTAAGTCTGCAAGAACTCATCTCTGCCCCCTTATCTCTGCATTTAGGTCCTCAACTAACTTCCACCAAACTGACATAGGAGGCTGATGTGCTCTACTTTCTTAGTTTTAGTGAGAACACAGGCAGTCTTGTATAAGCTGCAACAGTCTGACTGACTTTTCAGGCAAACCTAAGACACTGTTGCAGTAATCAAATCTACTTAATATAAATGCATGAATGAATAGTCTATATCCTACTTGGAGGTTTGTCCTTTAATCCAGGAAATGTTCTTAAGGTGATAAAAGGCTGACTTGGTAACTGCATTTAGGTTTAATAAAAATCTACTCATCAACAGTGTCAAATACTGCATTGAAGTCCAGTAATACCGGTAACAGAATTGTTGTTCTTAAAATCAGCTAACTCTAAAGCAGGGAAAAAATCGTCTTAATAAAACCTGTGGGTTAAGACAGCAGGAAGAGGAACTTAGCTGCTGAAGAATTTATTCTAAACTGTTGCAATTTATTTGGCAGAATTGGGGCATTTTAACAGTTTATTCTAATTGGAGAAAATGTTAAGACTAAAGTACATATTCTATTTGACAGCGCCCCTTTTTTCCACTCAAGTGAAGCACTTGACCAACTGCAAAATACAGATTTGACTTCACAAAGCCTCAGAAGCATTAAAAGTGTTTCTAGTGTTTAGTTTTCGGTATACATCTATTTTGAATTTATAGCCCCCCCCGCTGGAGAAAACTCCCCTGCCGCCTGTTATTTTGAATCTTAACTGATCAGGTCCAAAGTAAAGAGCAGGGGTCTCCACATTGAGTTTTGTAGCTCTGTAGGTTTCAGATCAATTATTTGCTCAGAATCTCCGAAATATATTAATAACTTTTTCAGAGTTTTTCAGAGTTTGAGTTGTAATGAGGCATGAATAAATGTAAGTGTGTTTGTGACCTATGTGTGCTAAGTGAACAGTATATCTGTATCGGTCTCTGCAGTAGATCCCAGCTGCACAACAAAGTTTAGTTTCTGTTCAGTCAGACTGAGGGAGGTTTTTGTATGATGAGTTTTCACTGTGCATACACATGCTGATTGTTGACATAATGAAGACTCTGACAGTAATAAACTCCTTCATCTTCAGCCTGGACTCCATTGATGGTCAGAGTGAAGTCTATTCTATTTCCTGTTCCACTGCCAGTGAATCTGGAGGAAATTCTTGAAAATCTCTCAAATGCTCTGTAGATAAGAGCTTTAGGTGTTTCTCCACTTTTCTGAAAGTACCAGGAAATGTAGTACTTTGACCCAGGGTATTGAACTACCTGTTCGTTTGCCTTACAGTCAATAGTGACAGTCTGCCTGAGCTTGACTGATTTTGCTGCTGGCTGAGTTATGACAACACTTTGTCCATTGCAGCCTGAGGAGAGAGAAGAAACAATATGCATGAGATAATGACGTGAAAGTGAACTACACTCTAAGTGGTTTTTAAAGACAGAAAATATTTTTTCTTCACCATGAATGAAGCACAAGGCAGTCCAGATGAGGATGCTGATAAAAGTCATAGTTTGTTGAAGAGGATTTCTGTGTCTTATGTTGTCATGAAGGAAAGCAGTCAGTCCTCCAGTGTTCAACTCTCAGAACTATATACTCTCCCAGAGCACTGGAGCATGAAGCTGCTGGTGCAAAGTGGCTCTATGGAAATGTTCTAAGTCCAAACGGAACTGAAATAAGGTCTCAATTAGGTTTTTTTTTATACTGATTACTTTATAAGAATTTATTGGAAATATTCAGAATTTTTTATTTTTATTTTGGTAGACTATTGCTCCCAACAAATGCAAACACAGCTTTTCCATATTTTCCAAAAATGTAGGGGACCTCCAAGCCTTGTCTCTACTATTGCTGGTGGACCTCCAATTGCATGTCAAGTACACTAGTACATGTTCAAACATGTAAAATTTTTAATATGAAACAGACTTTCATAGGGATTAGAAAATGAAAAACTTCAGTAATGCTTAGCTCAAAAGTAATTGAGGCCGTTTGGGGACCAATGATCGCTTTCAATAATTTTTTTCAAGGTTTTACCACAAATATACGGTATCAGTATAAAGCAAACATTTTAATCTGTTTAATTGAAGGACTGCGTGTTTGTATAGTCTGTAGCACTGTTGCTTTGCAGCAAGGAGCTCATAAAGCCCCTGTCACATCTTGACAATTTAGACCAGCGTATACCTGCCCTAAGGAAAATCTGTCAAAAACGCTGGCATACTTTGGATAAGTTATGGGTATGTTTTGTATAAGTTATGAGCTCGCTGAAGCACGCTGAAACACGGCGCACACGTCTATATACAACGAGTATGTATGCCAGCTTATGTAATTATCTGATAATTGACATATGTGAAGTGTAAGTTACTCATAAGTCGTGGCGCTTAGCTTATCCAAAACCTATGAGTAACTTCTCCTCCAGATTTCATCTTCATAGGGTGAGAGTGATGGATCTTCCCTGCCTTCACACCCATGGCCATCACCAACAAACTTCCTAGCAGACATGACACTGAATCTGCTGCGACTGCAGACCTTTTTTTAATTATTTTTCTTTTTATTTCTTCTTTTTTTTTTTTTTTGGATGGGCGGTATCATCGTTGCTCCTTTCACAATGCGCCTGAGGGGAACAGCTTTAACTGATGAGTAATGCCCATGAAATTATCCTTGTGCATGATGGCACGGGAAGGGGGGTGCTGCGGGGGCTGCAGCCTCCCTCGTCATAGCATCAGCCCCCCATGGTGGGGGGCTGTGGAGTAACATAATATTGTACTTAAAAACATGAAATTATTTATGTATTTATTTCTTAAAAGACTGTGTTTGATATGGGATTAAAATAATGGGCTGTATATAAGATATAAACTAATGATTCATTATTTTAATATTTCATAAAAAACTAGGCTACTCCCCCAGAAGCTTCCGCCACCTCACATTCGTTTAGGCATGGCTAGCAATAGGCAGCAGAAACGTATTTCTGACTATTTCGAGGTAAGAAATGGTTTTAATTCCCCTATACTGCCGCATTTAGCGTTATTTATGTGCCTATTCGTCTTAGTCCTGTGGCTGAAGAAGTCAGCCACAGCCCTCAACATAATGATGTCACGTGTTTTCCAACCCAGCCATCAGCCCCCCTCGCTTGAAACAGCTTCCAGCGCGCCTGTGTGCATCATTTCATGGGCATTATGCTGCCATGCGTTATGCATAAGTTAGGTGTCATTGGACATAAGTTCTGTACTCGAGTATGGTATGCATAAGCCCAAAATAAAAAAATAAAAAACATAGAAAGTTCAGGGTATGCCTGCGTTTTATGAGATTTTGGGACAATCGGCAAGCTGTGACAGGTCCCTTAGTTTGATCCCCACTCAGCCTCTTTCTGCTTGGAGTATGGATCCTGTCCCTGTGCATGGGTGGGTTCTCTTAGGCTACTCCAGCTTCCTCCTACAGTCAAAAACATGATTGTTAGGTTAATCGGTGACTCCAAATAAGTAGGAATGTGTTTTAATGGTTGTATGTCTCTTTGTTTCCCTTCATGGATTGGCGACCTGTTCAGTGTGTACCCCACCTTTTGCCCATATATATTGCTTGGCATAGTAGCCAGCCCAGCATGAGACTATAGACCAGGGATATCAAAGTAAAATACAAAAAAAAAAAATTGCTGCAAGCAAGGGCCAGACTGGTTAAATGTCTATTAAAACATATAGAAATGAACATAGCCTATGAACCAAGACCTGTTTTTAATATCAATATTAAAAACAGGTCTAGGTTAAAAATATTACTATCAATTTTATTATTAACCTTTTATTATATCAATAAACTTAAGATAAATACATAAATGAAATTGCATGGATTAGACACTGAAAATGCATTACTGTGCTGCTCTATGATCCTACTGATCACTGCTTTCAAATAGTAAAATAAGAAAAGAAAAAAATCAAATTTGTATTCTCTCTCTTGGCTCTTATCTGCATTTACCCTGAGTCCATTCAACTGAAAAATATGAATAAATAAAATAAAATACAAAAATCTATTCAGCGGATCCAGAAATCAGCCAGAGGTTCTTAAGGAAAGGAATTTATTAAACAAAAACCAGAGCAATACCAAAAAGGACTCAAGAATCAGAAAGACTACAGACTGCAGGTGTCAAAAGAGGCTGATTGAAGCCAAATTAAAATGAGCCGAGATGGAAGGAGAGGGGAGCTGATCCTGCAGGTTTTCGAGCCGGACACGCTGCCGAGTGAGGGGCAGGTGAGATCCGCATGATACTCTGATCGAGTATCATGCGGATCCCGCCTGCCCCTCGCTCGGCAGCATGCCAGTCTGCTGCAGGATCAGCTCCACTGCTCCCTCCATCCAGGCTCCTTTTATTTTGGTTTCAATCAGCCTCCGATGACACCTGCATACATCAGTTCCGGAGCGCTGTTAGTGTACTCTGCCTCCTTAGAAAACCAACTTCAGCCCAGCTTGGATTGTTAATGGGGTGAAAAGCAATAACCAAAACAATCCAAACATGCAAAGCACATAAAAAAAAAAAAACAGATAAAAGAAAAGAAAAATCTTGTTTTCCACTGGGAATGGAGTGTTGGTGTGTGCAACACAACCCGATTCGGCCCGTGGGCCTTGACTTTGACATATGTGCTGGAGACCAACGATGGAAGATGATTGGAACTTTGTGTTATTAATCAAAATTAAATGCTCATATGTCAGACCATTAGTGTGTTGTGCAACTTCAATGTATTTATTGTCCATGTTACACTCCCTATACAGAAAGGTCTCCGTCTCCGCTTCTGAGAACTTTATTTGCCCCAGGCTGCACGTCAAGACCAGGTTAGTGACTCACGCGTTTGTGATCATCCTCCGTCAGATTTACGTGGCCACTAACCTGAGTTTTCCTTCTGTAGTTTCCTTCTTTAGACACTCTAGCTGCTAACTGCAGATTCTACATTTTTTAATAAACTCTTTTGAGAAATTTGCCAGTCTGTTTGCCTTGAATTCTGGGTCTTCTGTTCTGAGCCTTGAGAGTGTCCCTTTTTTAATTTCACAGAATTGTCAATCCTATGTGTCAGGCAAAACATCTTATGATAGAATTTAAAAGGTAACACTACATGTGTTATTTATAGATAATCAAAAGCTTTCTCAGTGTTTATTTCCTTTTACTAGTGCCTGTTTCTAAAAAGATGTAACAAAATTTCCATTCTGGGTTCATTGTAGCACTGTAAAATAAAGTTTTTAAGCTATTTAAATAGTAAAAAAATAAATAGAAAAAATCTAAATGACTTAAACTCAAATACATAAAAAAAAGAACTGAATTAGTAGGACAATGTTTACCAGACTAAATTTGTTCAAGTTGAGTTTGTTGTGTCAGAGTCAGAGAGCCGTGTCTCTCTACAGTCAGAGGTTTTTGTACGACGACTCAATCAGTTTGTATCACTGTGGTACACGTTCGGTGGAGGAACCAGACTGGAGTTTGGAAGTAAGTGCAACATTTCAGTATTCAATATTTTATTTATCATTACAGGTAGTATACATTACTATAAATCTGTTTTGTAAACCTAATTTATATTGAGATGTCAATAATGAAGGTTTTTACTGCTTTTTTCACAAAAAAACTTTTGTTTTGGTTAAAATCTAGAATCATCAGTGTATTTTTTATTTTTTTTGTCTCTGTATTTCAAAGGTGTTAAGTATGATATTAGTGGAAAAGATGCGTAAGGTCTTAATTTCTGTTGTAATCCAGACTAAGAATTGTATTCAGAGTCAGAGAGCCGTGTGTCTCCACAGTGAGTGGTTTTAATAAGTTACCTTAATTAGTTTGTATCATAATATTGGGCTTATGGTGGAGAAAACAGACTCAATATTGAAAGAAGGTTTTTAAAATTTGATATTTATGCAATATTTATGTAAAATGAATCATAAGAGTGACCAGATGTTGGAAGTAAGTGGAATATTAACATTTCATGACATGAGCGTGTTCATTAAAAAAGATATTCATTTGTGTTTCAATTAAAGATTTGGTTAGTCAAAACGACCAGCTTTTATAACTTTGTTTTAGTTAATATACAAATGTTATTAGGAAGAAATATTAAATATTAGCAAAAATCTTCAATTTAATTTTTGGTTTAAATGGGAAAAAACACATTATAAATGTTTGGTGTTATCAACCAGAGTCATATTCAAAAACAGTTGCAGTTTTGTTAGCTTTAATCTAAGTATTTGTTATTTTTTTTTTCAAAACTATTTTTTTATAAAAGTAATATGACTTGATTGTGAGATCTGTTTGTGTTTATAAACTTTGGACAATGTGGCCAAGACATAAACTGTAGTTTTTTAATAATGGTCTGAAATAATTTTAATTCAATAGTTGTGTAACCTATTGCTTTTTCTGCAGTAAATACGATAAAGAATTCAGGTCATATCAGGGCTCTGTGAGCTGATATGCATGAAATGATCGGTTAAGGGAAATGAAACAATGTGTGAGGGAGTGACTGATGGAGTGGAAAAAAGTCTTTTTAGTGACAAACTCTAAAGAGTGTAATTTCTCACAGCATATAGATGTTCCTGTATCTGCTGGATAGCAGCTGTCTGGTTCCTGTTCTCTAACCTGATTGGTGTCTCCTAGGTGATGCTCTTCCCACCCTGACAGTGCTGCCCCCCTCCAATGAGGAGCTGCAGCAGGGGAAGGCCACCCTCATGTGTCTGGCCAACAAGGGCTTCCCCTCAGACTGGAGTCTGTCCTGGAAGGTGGACGGCAGCAGCAGCAGCAGCAGCTGGGAGGAGAACAAGAGCCGAGGAGTGCTGCAGAAGGACGGCCTCTACAGCTGGAGCAGCACCCTGAGGCTCCCTGCAGACCAGTGGAGGAAGGTGGGCTCTGTGACCTGTGAGGCCACCCAGGGCTCCCAGTCTGCAGTCACAGAGACACTGAGGAGAGACCAGTGTTCCTAGTCCTGAGCTGATTCACTCACAGTATAGATTAAATCTGTCACTGTTTTAATTCTCTCTCTTCTTGTTATTAACTATTTCCAATGAATCATCATCTTTGTTCTTAATTTTGGCTACTATTCAAAATAAAAAAACAAACTAATGAACTTCTGGTGTTGATCAATTTTATTATTATGCTAAGAAATTAGCTGAAACTCACACATTTCTGTGTTTTGTATCATTAATCAAGCTTTTATCTGACCGGATGCTTAAATTTCATTTTCTTACTTTATGTTCAATGTTCCTGCAATTCAGAAATAAATCAATTATTTTTATATGAAACAAATCAGAGGCTTTTTGTAACTTATAGAATAAAAACTAAATGCACATAAAATGACCTAATATCTTTCTATAAACTGACAGAGTTTTTTTTTATAACAATTTATCATTTAATCAGAATAATCTAACCTATTTTTATTTCTTTCAGTAATTACATTGAGTCAGTAGCTCTGAAAGGCTTGAATAACTGCTGATCAACACTGACCTCTAGATGGCTTTTTAAAGAGTAGGTTTAAATTTTTTTTAAGTCTAGCAGAGTTTACTTTTTTATGAATTCACTGTTAAATACTTGTTGTCAGAAAAAAAGAGTTATTATATAAAGATTATCGTACTTTTTTAGCTTGTTATCTTTCGAGACACATTACTCTATCACAGTCTGATTTAATCAGAAAATCACAACACACACAAATGCATGGATCTAACACCTCTTACATGCACTTCTCAACTTAGAAGTGCATGTAAGTGCACTTCTCACCTTTATATAATCTGCAAATCTTTTGTCTGCTATTATCTGTCATTACTTATCCTGTATTGTAACCCCACAAATATATAAATAATCCATATTATAAATTTCCTGTATAATCTGTATAGAGTTTTTATATTTATTTTGTAGCCTCTTACAATTACTCTCTCTTTAGATACAGCATTTAAAGTCCATGCATACATAGTCTCTGCACATATGTGAATACATTTTTATAAACTTTTATGGCACTTCTGGATAGATGCAAACTACATTTTGTTTGCTTTTGAATTTGTGACAGTGTAATGAACTAGTTGAATTATATTTTATAATATTCTATTCTAAGAAAAAAAAAGAAAACAATTTTAAAAGGAAATTGATAAATAATTAGAAAAACATATATAATATATAGAGAATGTAACATCTGGGGAAACTGGTTGTGTTTCAGTTCAGCTGCTGAGTCGGATCAGTTCCTCTGCAGCTGACGGAGGTTTTTGTACGACGTTCTATCACTGTGTGAACCAGCTGTAACTCTGCTGACAGTAATAAACTCCTGCATCTTCGGCCTGAACTCCACTGATGGTCAGAGTGAAGTCAGAACCAGAACCACTTCCACTGAAATGATCTGGAACTCCAGATTGACGATTTGTAGCATATCGAATCAGGAGTTTAGGAGCTTCTGCAGGTTTCTGAAGGTACCAGTGGAGGTAGCTAGAAACAGTAGAACTGGTTTTACATTTGATGGAGACAGTCTGACCCTGAACAACAGACTGCGATCCAGGAGTCTGAGTCAGGATGATGTTTCCTGATGAACCTGGAAAACATGAAAAATTGCAATTGAAAGAAATAATGTTAAATTATTAATAAACTGTGAAAATATTAAAGAACGCTTTATGATCTTGTTTCAATAATTCTCCATAATGACAGAATCATCATTTTCATGAAGCTGATTTCTTCCTCAAACCAAGTTCTGAGCAGAGAGTCTCACCCTGAACCAGGAGCTCCAGGATGGTCAGCAGTAGAGTCAGTAACATCATCATTGTGCTGCTGGTGGTTCAGTGGCTCTGAAAGGCCTGGACAGCCTCTGATCAACACTGACCTCTTAACAGCTGGGAGCAGAGAGGGAGGACACATATGCAAACACACAGAGTGAGTCACATGGAGCTGAACTGGCAGCATGTTTCCTCCTGAAACACATCAACATTATCAGAAAGCTGAATGGAGGAAAATTGAAAATGTTCCTGTTGATCTTTTTTATCTTTTATCTTTTTATCTTTTAGACATTGATGTAGCAACTAAGTGCATAATAAATAAAAGAAGGGAGAGAAACAACAGACAACAAACCTTTAGGAGCTAGATTGAATTGAATGTTCTAGGCAAAAGCTTATTTTGCTGTGATTCATTAACTTAACGTTCCCAAAGATCTAAAAGGGCTAAATCTACATTTAAAAAAAAAATCTAAAGACTAAAACATCTCTAAATGTAAGCTGGGATTCTTTTAAAGCAACATTTAACTGTAAAAGAAACCAACTTCTCTCTAAACAACATTGTTCCAGCTCAAAGCTCATAATGTCAAGTCTCTTCTGATAACTGTGTGAAAATAATTCACACCTTTATCTCATCCAGACTAATCTAATCTCCAAGTCTCTATGAACTAATTATTCTGTCCTTTCTTTGTTCAATTTAACTTTCAAGCTTTATAACAAATGAAACAAACCAAAATCAGATTAATTGAACTAAAAGTTTCTTTATATGTTTTGCTGAGTTTTATGCAGATTACATTTGTCAAATTATTGAATTCATTAACTTAAAATGAAAGACATATACTCAAAGTTTTGAACTTGTGGAATTTGATTTATATCCTTGTTTTTGTAAAGATGGTCTGTTAAATATCTGTTAAATGTTTAACAGTGACTAAAGTAGCTTTGCTGACATTACTGATTGCTTCGTTTTTATTTTTATCTTTATAAAAACATGTAAAATATGTTTTGTTGAGTTTCTGTATTCAGAGTTTAATCAGACTTCTTTAATCTTGAAAAATAAAAGATAACTTCCCCCTTATCATTGTTCATGGGCTCATAAGGCTCCATCATGTTAAGTAGGCCGTTTCTGCCACATTATCGCTACAACATTAAAGAAACTTCTAGAAGTGAGGTGCAAGATGGGAAAATATATTGGTTATTGAATGTAAATGTTTGGTTTCATAAACATTTTTATTAGAATTTAAATAAATTGAAGAGTCTAAATATGTTTTATTGTTTATCCTGATTGTTTAATTTTAGCTAATTTAGTTGCTATTAATGGAATGACTGGAGGTATTTATATATTTTTAACTTCAATAATTTAGAGGTCTACCATCCTAATGTGAATCTTAAGAAAAATACACATTTTGTCTTGATAAGGCTTAATGAAATATAATGCCGTGTTCTGTCAACTGTATCAGTCTCTGCAGTAGTTTCCAGCTGCAGAACAAAGTTCAGTTTCTGTTCAGTCAGACTGAGGGAGGTTTTTGTACGACGAGTTTTCACTGTGTGAACACAGGCTGACTGTTGAGGTAATGATAACTCTGACAGTAATAAACTCCTGCATCTTCAGCCTGGACTCCACTGATGGTCAGAGTGAAGTCTATTCCATTTCCTGCTCCACTTCCAGTGAATCTGGAGGAGATTCCTGAAAATCTATCCGATGTCAGATAGATCAGAGCTTTAGGAGCTTCTCCTGGTTTCTGTTGATACCAGGACAGGCAGACCTGTGAGCTGTAGCCGCACTGAGATGTTGAAAGTGCCTGACTGGCCTTACAGTTAATAGTGACAGTCTGACCAAGCTGCACTGATTTGGCTGCTGGCTGAGTCACAACAATATTTTGTCCATCAGACCCTGAGAGGAGAGAAGAAAGACTGGAGATTAGATGATGAAGTTGAACTCATCTACACTATAAATTTCATTTCACAAAACAGAAAATGTTTTCCTCACCCTGGGTGAAGCAGAGTAGAGTCCAGATTAGGATGCTGATCAAAATCATGTTTTCTGTGTTTTCTGTTGTCATGAAGGCCAGTTGTCAGTCAACTCTCACGTCTATAAACTCTCCCAGATCACTGGAGCATGGAGCTGCTGATGCAAAGTGGCTCTATGGAAATTTTCTGACAGATTAAAAAGAACTGGGATCAGTGAGATGTTTTCTATGAATTATTCAGGTTATGTAGGAATTTGGCAATGTGAATGTTTTTTTTTTTGTACTTTCTCTTTTTACTTTTAATCTTTTGCTCTCATTTTTTTTTTTTTTCAAATATAGATGTTTTATAATAGTAAACTCACAAGTATTTAATGTGACTTAGGAGATTTACTACTAGAAGTTTGGGAAAAACAACAAAACCAATTTATCTAGATTAATTTTCAAAAATATTTGATAAATTAATAAGTAATGTCAAACAGTTGGATTTTACAGTACCTGACTATATTTTCTTTGTCAGACACTTTTGTACGGTCTCTATATATTTATTATATATTTGAACTTGAGGTTCAGAAAAGAACAAAATAAGCAATTTAAATTCTTAAAAAGATCAAGTAGTTGAAGTAGTCACTATTGTTTTTATTAATTTTTGAATAAATGGATGAATGTTTAGATGTTCGGAGACAGTTGCTGTAAATTGTCTTTAAACATCTTCCCTTTCTAATGGAGATTGATGTTTCCCACCAAAGCCAACTGATTTCTCATCTACTTGAGATCATGTTGGACAATTTAACACATCAGTTTCCCCCATGTTGCAGAATTAGTTAAACTGTATTTTAGTCGATTTGATTCCCGGTGTTCTTGGTATTTATGATAAATATGTCTATGGTTTATTTTCTTTTTAAATGACCCATCTCTCCTGACCTTCCTAGACCGGAAGGGCATCCAGGTTTGTAGCCCAGGTCCCTCACATTAGAATCATTGCCTTTAATCACTTCAAAATGGGGACATCTCTTTCTCTCAGACGCTGTTTCTTAAAATTATTTTTTTTCCTCATTGCACAGTTATATATTATCTGACATGTTAGATATATTTAGCTGCGTGTACCTATAAATTGCAAAATATGCACCAACTAACTAATAGACACTTCACCCAAGACTGTATTACCAACCCTGAACCTTTATGGATGCAGATATTATATATTATAGAGGGACATAACCAGGCCAAGCAGAATGGCTAGAGCTCCACAGATAACTTCAAAGACTTTGCAAACAAAGTCAAACATTTAAAGCATTGATATCACATTTTTTTTTAACTCACACCACAATGGAACACAAATGTTTAGTCATCAGAACCTTACAACATCCCCCTGAGCATATCC